AAGGGTATATCCACAGTTGGGTTACAAAGATTATTGTTGTTGCTAAGTGCTATCAAGTTGGTTCTGGCTCATAGCAACCTTGTATAGGGTTTCCAAGGAGTGGCTAGTGGGTTTGAACCATCAACTTTGTGGTTCACAGTCCAGTGCTGATCCTACAGCACCACACCAGGAGTCCTGGGTTAGAAAGAATCCAGCCCTAAATCCAGATGTTCTTCCTACTGGGATAAATTGATGCTACTATGTCCACCTGAAGGTGGATGATGGCTTTGGCAAAGAAAAAATAAAAGGCTATACAAACTTGGTCTTTGTCTTGTATCAAGGCCTCTCAAATTAGAGGATACTGCACCTTAGGATGGGCAAAGTTCCTAGACCAAAAAGTCCAAGTCTATAAAGATTTAAAACGCATTAATCTCCCACCTGAACCACACTCCCAACAAAAACACGCAGCAGGAGCCATGGTAGAAGCTGCAGCAGCCAACATAGCCGCAGTTGGAGGATTAGCCAGAGGAATTGCCTTTAACACACACACCATTCAGAAGACCTCCAGCCTAGAGAACAGATGGCTGAGGATTATGGCCAGGAACTTAAGGCTTTACAATTATCCCTTGATTTCCTCAGCTCAACAACTAATGGATCACCATACAGCTCTTGACTACCTCCTAGCTAGATAACGGAGAGTGTATGCAATAGCAAATACTTTATGCTACTTTTATGTAAACACCACAGGAACCATAGAAACCCAAGTAGGAAATCTCTTTAAGAAAGCACATTTGTTAAGAGAGAGCAGGAACAAAAGGAGGGGAGTGGTTGATTTGGCAGTCCAGGAGCAGAGGTCCCTGGGACCATCAAGGGAGACGACCAGAGTGCGGGATCCTATCCAGAGAAGCTTTGATGCCAGAGATGGAGGCAGAGACGTGGAGAGATGGAGTGGCTGGGGACTCTGGACTCAGGGAAGGAGAGAGGCTGTGTGCTGACGGCTGGAGGACAGGCTTGCAGGGTGTACCCTTTGGTTGTTTGATGATGCATGGAGGGATTATAATCATTGCAATGAAATGAAATACGATAGGATGAATGTAAAGCTGATGTTCTCCCATGTAAACTATCCCTCAATTCACAATAAAAACTTTTAAAAAAAGAGCAGGGACCAAGTAACCGAAGATATCTGAATACCCTAAAAGACTGGATTCCCTCGGCTACCTGGTTCCTCCAATTGACCCGATTGTGATAATTGTATTAACTCTAATATTCGGCCCTTGTCTTTTTAACCTGTTGTTATTAAGTGCCATTGAGTTGGTTCTGACTCATAGCAACCATGTGTAGGGTTTCTGAGGAATGGCTGGTGAGTTTGAACCACCGACCTTTCGATTCAAACATATCTTTTGGTCCAGTGCTTTATCCCACAATGCCACACCAGTACTCCTATTTTAACCTATTAGTGAAGTTTATTTTCTCTCAACTCCAGGCAATCAAGATTCAAGTACTCTGAGACTGAAGAGATATGTGCTGGTGCCTACTAACCTCAACCTTCTGGACCAAGCAAGCACTAGTACTATTTCTACTTGAACCCAGAGGGCCCTGCTGGTCAGCCCTGACAATCCACTACCCTCACTCATAGGAATGGAATAGGAGAGACAAGGCATCCCACAGCAATGCCCCTACTCAGCAGGAAGTAGTTAGATGGTCTCAACACCCAATATCCACATGAATTTGGAGTCTCTTGTTTCTCAGAGGGGAATGATAGGGGCAGCCTGGGAATGAAAAGGCAGGGAATCAGGAACCAGCTCAGCAGTCAAGGAGACCTTACAGGGTGAGGCCAACTAATCAAATAAATGATGTTAACCACAAGAAACAGAAGAGCTAAGGCAAGGGGATTTCCAGACTTGGAGCATGTGCAATCTAGGGGACCATTGACTGAAGGATGCCACGTATCTCATTATAATACTAAATTGCACACCCACCGGGGCCATAACAGATCTTACCAGAACCAAATTAGGACAACAAAGAAGTGGCATCCCACTCCCCTATTTCCCAGAAAATCCATGAATATGCCTCCCTTCTATTACCATATGTTAGATTCAAATCAATAAAAACTCAGACCTGAGATCCTCTCTGGGTCATGACCACTCCACAGAGACAGCCCCATTTTCTCCTTTGAGAATATACTTTCACTTTGCCAATAAACTTCTTAAGCCCAGACAGAGTATATGAGCAAGTGATTGATTTGCAGTGGCCAATTTATGTATAATTATAATTGTCCTGGTTTGAGAACTCAATCCCCGATTCTTCAGGTTAGTTGAGGAAGAGAAACCTGAAAGTGGATAACAGTAAGATTAATACTAAGACTTCAGAAATAGATAATACACTGAAAGAAGTAGAATCAAATAAATGGACAGTCAAATTACTGAGCTTGGAAAAACTCAATATTCATCTGCTTGAGAAACAGTCAGAAAATAGAACAAAAATATCTAAAGACACTTCAAGATTTATGTAGGACACTATCAAGAGAAATAACACACATGACTGGAATTTCAGAACACAAAGAGACAAAACACATACACGCACACACACAAAAACAGAGAATACTGTTAAAGAGTTACTGGAAAAAAACCTCCCTAACATCATGAAAGATGAGAAAATAGGTATTCAAGAAGTTGAATGAACTCCAAACAGGATAAACCCCAAAAGCAAAACACCAAGACATACTATAATCAAACTTTCAAAACTAAAGACAAGGGAAGAATCCTGAGAGCAGCTCAGAAAAAGCAAAGATACCTACAAAGGAGAACTTACAAGACTAAACTCTGATTTCTCAGCAGGAACCGTGCACGCAAAGACACAATGGAATGACATGTATAAAACTCTGAAAGAAAAAAAAAAATGCCAGAAAGAAAAAATATATATCCAGAAAATTGTCCATCAAATATGGCAGTGAAATTAGGTCATTTTCAGAAAAGCAGAAATTAAAATAATTTATAAAAACCAGACCAACTTTACAAAAACTACTAAAGAGATTTCTTTGGACAGGGAACCAACAACAGCAGACAACATCTGGTACTAACTTACCTGAAAACATCACCTATACTCAACCCAGATGCTAAGTGCTGTCAAGTCAGTTCTAACTCATAATGACCCTGTATAGGGTTTCCAAAGAGCAGCTGGTGGGTTTGAACTACCAGCCTTGAGGTTAGCAGTCCAGTGCTTATCCTACAGTCCCACACCAGGATTCCCCAACCCAGATATAGAAGTACTCAAAGGAAAACATACCTACAAGACTAAAAACAGAGAACCAGAAATAGTCACAACAAAAAATTAGAAAATACTGTAGTTTACAGAGCTTCCATAGAAAGAGGAAATCAAGTAGATTTAAAGAAAAAATAAAAGCCTAACTGTAACCCTAATAAACTAGACCAAGCCTTACTTCTAGCTTTAGTCCAATCCTTACCCCTAACACTAGCCCTAGTTCTAACCATAACCCTAACACTAAACCAAGTCCTTGGCCTAGCTTAGATCTAGTCATAGTTCCAACCCTAATCCTCACTCCTTATTCATCTTCTCACCACTTCCCCAACTCCACCCCAGAAAAACACTCTGCTTTTTCTGATTCTCCAAGTCTGACCTAGCAAACTTCGACTGGGGAGAAAAAAACGTGATGGCACTTAAGCAAACCCTCTCCAGTGAATGAATCATTATTGTCCCAAGACAATAGGTTAAGAGCCAGGACATGCAGTTTTCAAAAAATGGGCAATGCGGGCTCCAAAGGCAGAGCACTAGAGAGGGCCTCGGTCCTTGAAGTGAAAAATAATGGAGGTGGTACAGCTAGGTTGTCTCAGAGCAGTCAGTCAATGATGTAAGAGTGTCACTAGCAGAACTGGGTCCTAGGACCCGAGATCTGAGGGGACATGGCTAAAGGCCCTGACAGTTGATATTAGAAATGTGTTTAGGGGTCTTTAGATCTACACTGTTGATCTGACCTAGGGAGCAGCCAAGAGACCAATAGCAGTAAGGCAGGGGAAGAGTTTTGTAATGGTTAATGGATCTGACGATGGAATCTGGAAGGCTCTAGAAAGCCAATTTCAAGGTAAGGGAGAGTGAGTATTTGAAAGGACCCTGGAGTTCAGATTGGATAGCTGAAGAGGTTCAGCCCTGAATAGACACTAGAGAGCACAGAGGAAAGCCAGAAAAAGGAATTGTCAGAGAAGCCAACAGAAGGTTGTTATACAGACAGTGGTGATCAGTTAGGAGAAGAGGCAATCCAGCCTCTGAAGAGGTGGGACAGTCCCTCCCTCCCTTCACCTGGCATCTGTCCTGTCCCTAAAACCTAGGTCACTCCTCTCCCTATGCAAAGGATCAGTTTCTCCCATAAATGTATTTAGGATTTCTTTTTTTAAGGGTTAAATTCATTCAAGAAACTTGGAGTGTGAAATTGAGTTCCATGTACCAGTCACAACAGATGAGCAATATAAAGTCTGAGTTATGATTTATTAGAGAAAGATTTTACTACAGCAAAAGGACTACAAAGCACAGGAAAGAATTGGTGTATGAAAATAAAACAACTCCTCTATTCTTCATATTACTTAAACAAAACCTTCTAATTTCCCACTCCATTTGGTTATAAAATGCAGAGAAACTCATCCTCACACAGAGCACAGGTATTCAGGAGACTTCTCCTGAAACACCCTATGAGGTGGGTGAAGTAGTGGCAAAATGGTGTCCTCTGAAGTCAGTTGAGGAGGGACACTGGAATAAAGTTCTGTCCACAGACCTGCCCACACAGCTTTTCTGAGTGTGTACTCTGGTTTAAGAGGATGTATAACTTCTTGTTAACATACCTCACATTCTCCCTGCCCACATAAAGCTTCTCCCCCACAAAAAGCTGTTCTCTGATGTATGATGAAGTATGCTTTTTACCCAAATTCATGCCCATCTTCTTGCACTCACAGAGTTCTTATTCTGTGTTCTCAACTGTATGAAGAGGCGTGATTTACAAGTGAAAACCTTGATCACACTCGCTGCAAACACTGGGCTTCTCTTGAATGTGTCCAATGATGTCTAATGAGGCTTTGCTTATAGCTAAAGCCTCGCCCACACTCCTTGCACACATGTGGCTTCTCCCCTGAGTGTGTCCCCAAGTGGAGGAGGAGGCCTGACTTCTGGCTAAAGCCTCGGCCACACTCCAGGCACACATAAGGTTTCTCACCTGTGTGCATACCCTGGTGTCTCATGAGATTTGACTTTCGGTTAAAACCTCGGCCACACTCCTGGCACACATGCGGCTTCTCCCCCGAGTGTGTCCTCTGGTGCATAAGGAGGCTTGATTCTCGGTCAAAGCCTCGCCCACACTCACGGCATATGTAAGGCTTCTCCCAGGAGTGTATCCTCCAGTGCAGAAAGAGGATTGCTCTTCGGGTAAAACCTTGGCCACACTCGCTGCAAACATAAGGCTTCTCATTGGAATGTGTCTTTTGGTGTCTGACGAGGCCTGACTTCTGGCTAAAGCCTCGCCCACACTCCTTGCACACATATGGTCTCTCCCCTGAGTGTGTCCTCTGGTGTATTAGGAGGCTGGATTCCCGGTTAAAACCTTGTCCACACTCCAGACACTTGTAAGGCTTCTCATGTGAGTGTGTCCTCTGGTGTCTGAGGAGATTTGATTTGCGGTTAAAACCTCGTCCGCAATCCTTGCACGCATGTGGCTTCTCCCCCGAGTGTGTCCCCTGGTGGAGGAGGAGGCTGGATTCTCGGTTAAAGCCTCGCCCACACTCCAAGCATACGTAAGGTTTCTCACTTGAGTGTATCCTCTGGTGTCTGATGAGATTTGATTTGCGGTTAAATCCTCGCCCGCAATCCTTGCACACATGTGGCTTCTCCCCTGAGTGTGTCCGCCAGTGCATGAGAAGGACTGATTTTCGGGTAAAGCCTCGGCTACACACACTGCAGACATAGGATTTCTCATCAGAGCGTGTCCTCTGGTGTCTGATGAGGTCCGACTTCTGTCTAAAGCCTCGGCCACACTTGCTGCAGACATAGGGCTTCTCCCCAGAGTGAGCCCACTGATGTCTAATGAGACTTTGCTTATACGTAAAGCCTCGGCCACACTCCTTGCATACATGTGGCTTCTCCCCTGAGTGTGCCCTCTGGTGCATTAGGAGAGCTGATTTCCGGATAAAGCCTCGCCCACACACACTGCAAATGTAAGACTTCTCATCTGAGTGTGTCTTCTGATGTTTGATAAGGTCTGATGTCTGGCTAAAGCCTCGCCCACACTCAGAGAGCGTGTAAGCCTTCTCACCTGAGTGTGTCCTCTGGTGTATGATACAGGATGACTTATCCCGAAAACCTCGGCCACACTCGTTGCAAACATAGGGCTTCTCCCCTGAGTGAGTCCACTCATGTCTAATAAGGCTTTGCTTATACGTAAAGCCACGCCCACACTGCTTACACACATGTGCCTTCTCCTCCGAGTGTGTCCCCTGGTGGAGGAGGAGGCCCGACTTCTGCCTAAAGCCTCGCCCACACTCCAGGCACACGTAAGGTTTCTCACCTGAGTGTGTGCTCTGGTGTCTGAGGAGATTCGACTTGCGGTTAAAGCCTCGCCCACACTCCTTACACACATGTGGCTTCTCCCCTGAGTGTGTCCTCTGGTGCATGAGAAGAACTGAATTCTGAGTAAAGCCTCGCCCACACTCCTTGCACACATATGGTTTCTCCCCAGAGTGTGCCCTTTGATGTATAAGGAGACGTGATTTCCGGTTAAAGCGTCGGCCACATTCACTGCAAACATAAGACTTCTTATCTGAATGTATCTTCTGATGTCTGATGAGGTCTGACTTCTGTCTGAAGCCTCGCCTATGTGTTAGACGTGCATAAGGCATCTCACCTGAGTGTTTCCTCAGGTGTCTGATGAAATCTGACTTGTGGCTAAAGCCTCGCCTACACTCACTACAAACATAGGGCTTCTCCCAGAAGAGGGACCTCTGGGTTGTAAAGAAGTTTGGTTTCAGCCCACAGTCTGATCCATCCTCTCCATAGCTGACTACTCCAAATCCTGAGGTTGCTAATTCCTCAGAGTTCCCCCTTGGGGCTGAGCTGGGCTCTAGTCCTCCCACTGTGCTGCCTCCTCTAGGGCTTGCTGACTGACTTTGGGCAGAGCCGGAGAGTGTCCTCCAGGGCTCTCTGTCCCCTGTACTCCCACACGAGGGTTTGGAGACATCTTCTGTCTCTTGACCTTCTGTGTTTTCACTCCAGCAGCTTGGCTCCCAATCCTGCTGCTCCGGCTGCTTCTGATGCCATGGGTTGGAATCCCCTGGATGGAAGTGGTTGTCTGCACAGTAGTCTGGGAAGATCTGAATCATGTGCTGGCTGAGAAACTGCTGACAGGGGAACCCCAGAAGGCAGGAGGAACTGGGGTAGATTTCTGGCTTTGATTCAGCTGCAAAGAGAAAGTTTTCCATTAGAGTAACCACAGTGGGGCTGCCTGGGCTGTTCTGCCTTCTCTTAGGACAGACAGTATCTCCTTGTTGGAGCTCCTGGGTGGCACAGTGAAACAGTAGACTACTAGCTGAAAGGTTGGTGGACTGGAAGACAAGCCTGGTGATCTGCCCTTAAAAACCTTTGGAGTTCTATTCTATACACACAGGGTCATCGTGAGTTAGAATCAATGTGATGGCAACCCACAACAATATTGTGGCCATGCTCATAATTGACAATAACATACAACAGAGTTTGCTCCCCAACAATAAATCATTTATATAATGGCATTTTCACAAATTACATTTTCTATTGCAATCCAGAAGAAGTCTGGTTGCACAGTGGCTAAAGTGATTTGCTGTCAAGCAAAATGCTAGTAGTTTGAACCCATTAACTACTCCATGGGAGGAAGATGTAGCAGTCTGCTTCTATAGAGATTTAGAGCTGTGGAAATCCTATGGGACAGTTCTACTCTCTCCTATAAACTGCTGTGGGTTGAAATCGACTTGCTTGGCAGTGGATTTGGTGCTGCAATCCAGATCATCCATACCCAAAACCTTCCCATATGTCAGCTAGACTAGGAGCTTTACAATTAAACACCAGAAACTTGTTTCTGGCTTGTAAACCGCTTCTATTATAGTTAGCCTTTTCCTTCTACTAAAACCCTCTAAGCTATTGTTGTTAAGTGGTTCTGATTCATAGTGACACTGTATAGGGTTTCTGAAGAGCAACAGGTGACTTTGAACTGCCGACCTGTAGATCACAGTCCAATGCTTATCTTACAGTGCCACACCAGAACTTCCTCTAAGCTATAAACACATTCATATATATTGTCATTAACACTTTGCTTGTAGCATTTCTGTTTGCAAACAATTCCCTTCACCCACGATGTTTTCTATAAGTAAGTACACAATGCTAATTTTTTTACAGATCTACCAAAATGTAAAAAAAAAAAAAAAAGAAAATCAGCATGTCAGCACTTAATAAATATCCCATAGGGGAAGAGTGGTTAGTAAGCAAACAGGTAAGAGAAATGTTATTTGCATAAATGTACAGTATTTAGAAATGACAGTTTCTATGACCTATATGGAAATCTCCTTTATGACTTCTTATTATAAACAGGGAGTCCTGGTGTGGCGCTGTAGGCTAATGCATCAGACTGCAAAGTCATTTGAACTGCAAAGTCAGTGGTTCAAGCTCACCAGCTGATCCCTGGAAATCCTATACAGGGTTAGAATCAACTCAATGGCACTTAACAACAACAACATTATAAACAAGGACTAATAGACATAAAAAGGCACTCAGTCTGGTGGTCTTACATATGTAGAAGACAAGTCTGTGTAAAATGGCATAACAGAAGAGTCTAACCTGTTCAATTTAAGGGGATATAATGATCAGGGTTACAATTAGACCCAGTTGATTACCATAGTTAGAGGTCAGATATTCTCCAACCTTTTTACCAACTCTGACATCAATTGTAGCCCCCCACGGCACTCTGCGTCCCTTCTGGGTTTGACAATCCACTGTAATACTGATGGATAATACTACGAGTTAAGTGCTTTATTAAAGAACAGGCTACAACTCCGGATTAGGATCAGGACACATGGAGACCACCTCTCCTTTCTTCAGTTCAGAAGAGCTCTCTCAGGCCTTCTCTCAGGTCTCTTCTTGGCCCCTTCAGGGTAGGCCCTTCTGATCCACCTCTCAGGACAAGATCCTCTCAGACCCCTCAGGAAAGGTTCCTTGTGACCCCCTCAGGACACGCTCCCCTCCCAGACCTGTCGCTGCTTGCTCGGTCACTGTGCCACTTCTAGGTCTCTCGCTGTCTTCAGTGTTATAGCCCTTGACCATGTTAAAGCTCTTTTAGGAGGTTCCTTGCCATCTGTCTCTCTCTGCTTCTTCTCACTTCTCTTTTCCTTTTTCTTCCTGCTGCTTCCTTTCTGAAAAAAACCCTCTGGGGTTGACTGCTTATATATACAAACCCCAAATTTCAAGGCAATGCCCTCCCTCCAGGGCCATGAACTGACCAATCCCCTCTCTGCAGGTCGCAGACACTTCATTTCCATAGATTGATTAATCTCTACCAGGTGCATACCAATCACAGGGTGGACTATAGCCCAAGACCAAAAAACAGAAGTGTCAAAATCAAGTTGTTCACAGCTTATCTGGGAAATGAAGCAAATCCTGTGGAGTAGAAAACTAGGACAAAGGTAACTAACTCCTCAGGGATTAAGAAGAAAATTGTTCAAGCTGTGTTTTCAAAGCAGCAAAGAAAAAGGCCACAAAAAGGAACGCATCTCACTCAGCACAGTATGCATCAATGGTTCAAGAGATTGTGTATGAAATGAATCTTCAGAACAGATTGCTCTCTCCTAAGTAAATACTTATCCACCATTTGTATTTATTCACATTTTGTGATCTTTGGTTTTGTTTTTGACAGTCTGTGAGCACTTTGGTTGCTTGGACTGGGAATGCTGTGCTGACAAAACCTGCTCAGCTCCAGGAGTTTGGCAGTCCTGCCACAGGCCAGTATCTCAGCAGAAATCAGACTCCGGTTGCTCTAAAGGAGTGCACCCTGAGTTTATGTAATTCCTCAGGTTCTCTAAGAAACCTAACTCTAGTTTGTTTCTATTTCTGGCCAGTCATCATCTGAGACACCAAGTGGTAACTCGAGAGATTTGTGACCTGCACTTTCAGTCTTGAATTTTTGACAATCTGTGATTTCAGTAGAATGACTCTCTTTTGTGTCATTACAGTTAACACCCGCTACAGGAACTCATACGACTCCACAGCATACCACTGCAGGAACTCATGTGAACTCACTGTATTTCTAATCCCTTATAAGTAAAAGTGCCATTTCACTCAAGAGAATTGAGAATTACCAAAGCCACTTTGGGGATCTTAACCTTACATCATGCCCCCTACTCCTTAATCTTTCTAAAAAACAAAACTGTATTTCTTTACATTAGCCTCAGCACAATCACCACAATCAGAACATTTAATAACAGAATGTTGTTGCTCACCCACGTGTGAAAGCAGAATAGCTGTGTAGTCTTTATGGGAGCAGATTACAAACTTTTTTCCTCCCCAGAGCCATCTGGTTGGTTCAAACTGCTGATCAACCACTGCACCATTAGGGCTCCTCAATGGCTAAAGACTGTTCTATTTATACAGAACTTACTCAGATGTTACCTGGTATGTGTTGTATGTGTGTATATGTCTGTCTGTGTGTGTGTGTGTATATATATATATGTGTGTGTATATATATATATACAAATATTTGTAACTCCTGAGTCTATTCTGACACCTCCATTTCCAATCCAGTACTAGGTTCTCTACAGTCTCCCCCTTTTCCATATTTGTATTTCCCTTCTTTAATAATGAGAACACTGGCTCCCAACATCAATATTTTTATTCATTGACTTAATCTTAAAATTCAAAGAAACTCATTTCAGAATAGTTGACTCATACCCTTACCAAAAAAGATAAACAAAACATAGTTCAAGATTTTGTATTTGTACAGTTTTTTTTGTGTGTGTTTGTTGTTTGCCAATGGACAAGGAGATGAGCAACTTTTTCTGTACAGGATCAAATTGTAAATATTTTTAGCTCTGAGCCAACACAATCTGTTCCAACTACTTAGCTCTGTTATAACAGAATGAAAGTAGCCACACACATACACAGGTTGCTGTGTTCTAATACTTTATGTACTAAAATAAGTGGCAGGTCAGATTTGGCTTTGGGCTCTAATTTACCAACTCCTGTTTTAGACTGAATTTATGGTCAACGTTCTCTGTTCAAAGGTTAATTGCCCCCCTTGTTCACAGTGGCTCACATTTTATTCGTGTAAAATACAGTTAGATTTGTCTCCCCAATCTACCAGGAAGACTCCTGGCCAAAGGAGGTTCTCAGCTTTCTCTTGCTCCGTGGGTGAGGGAGCCTGGCTGCACCAAGTGCCTGGAGGTACCGGCTCCACCCCAACAAGCCTCCTGCTCAAAGCAACTCAGCTTTCTCAATCCAGGAAGACCACCACAGCTTCTCCCACCAGGTTCCGGGATCTGCTGCCTCTGTTTTTCTGCAGTTGCTTCTCACTGCCTCAAGTGTGACAGCTCTGTCTCCTGGGCCTAGGAGGTTCTCAGTGATCCTGGGTCCAAAAGATATATACTCTGCTCCTAGCTCTTCTGTTTTGGTGGTAGTCAAGACCCACCTCGCCAACTCTGCTAGCTTGCTCTCTTTTTATCTAGTGTAAGGTAAGAGATGTGACTGAAATAAGGGTGTGACTTGAATAAGCATGCTAACTTGAGTCACCTTACTCCTGCCTCATAAACATAATGGACAGCTCACTCCCAAATGGGACTATAACCACAGGCATAGAGCCTAGGACTTACAACATATCACAAAACAGAGGACAATGACATCATTACATAATGTTACCACTGAAAATCATGGCCCAGCCAGACTGACACAAAACCTTAGCTAGTACATATTCTATACACCCAATTTGCATTAGCAGCAAGCTGTCCAATCACCTGGGTAGACAACAAGCACCTGATTTGCCAGTCCCACCCAATCATTCTGTGGAAGTCACAGAGACTATGGCTGAAAGAGCCATATGAAGTAACCCCAGTGCACTGCAACTGTGGTTTAATTTTTCACATTTACATCTCTGGTCATTTGAAATTGTTCAGTACTATATTTTTCTAAATAGATACCTAGTTGTCCAACATCATTTATTAAAATGTCTATGTTTATCCAACTGATTTGAGATATCACCTTTATCAGTACGCTGGACTGCAAGGTCAGCTTGAGCCACTAGACCAGTGGTTCAAACCCACCATCCACTCCTTAGAAACCCTATACAAGGTAGCGCACTATGAGTCAGACTCAAAGGCATTTAACAACAAAAACAAAAAAACTATATATGTATTTGTTTGATTTCCTGACTTCCTTTCTTATTCCACTTGTATATAAGTCTATTCATAATAGTATCACACAGTTTTAATTCTAAAGGTTTCATGTTGTTGTTAAGTGCTATTGAGCCGGTTCTGACTCACAGCGGTTCATAGGATTTCTAAGACTATAAATCTTTGCAGGAGCTGCAAACCTCAACTTTCTCCTGTGGGGACGCTGGTGGGTTCCAACTGCTGACCTTGTGGTTCATAGTCCAATGCTTATCTTACAGATCCACCGTGCTCCCATAGCATGTTTTAATGGTAAGGTTAGTATAGGGAGTGTGGTGGCTCCATATGATAAGTATTGAATTTCCAACCACAAGTTCGGCAGTTTGAGACCACCAGCCGCTCCATGGGAGAAAAATGAAGCTTTCTGCTCCTGCAAAGATGTACAGTCCCAGAAACCCAATACAGGGTCACTATGAATGAGAAGGAGTCCTGTTGTGCGCTGTGGGTCCTGGCATGGCGCTGTGGGTTAATGTGCTGGACTGCAAGATCAGTTTGAACGGCAAGGTCGGCAGCTCAAGCATACCAGCAGCTCTTTGGAAACCCTCTACAGGGTCGCTATGAGTTGGAACCGACTTGATGGGACTTAACAACAACAAATGAGTGAAAACCAATTCAAAGGCACAGAACAGTAACAAGGTTAATACACTGTTTTAGCAATTTTTTTTCAGCTTTTTTCCTGTATATTCTTTTCCATGTGAACTTCATAAAACAGCTTGTTTCTATTTTTTTTATTTTCTCAATTGGAATTGTGTTCAATTAATAAATGACCTCAGGGATAACTGATAAGTTGATGCACCAAACTTCCAATTGTTCTTAAATGCTGTCAAGTTGGTTCTAACTCATAGTGACCCTGTATAGGGTTTCCGAGGATGTGAATCTCTGTGAAAGCAGAAAGTCCCAGCTTTCTCCCACTGAACAGCCAGTGGGCTCAAAACACAGACTTTGTGGTTCATAGTCCAGTGCTTAGCCTACAGAGCCACCTCCCATCAACCTTCCAATTAAGTGAGCATATTAACTGTTGTCCACTACCCAGAGTACAGAATCTCATTCCTTTTTCTAAGATTCAGCTGAAGCTTTCCCTCTTGTGGTAAATGTAATTTGGTCAATATATTTGCAGCCCTTCCCCACTGAGCCCAACTCTGCAGAAGAATGATCTTTCCCACTACAATGACATTAGATGTGGCTGTGTGATTTGCTTTGGCCAATGAAGATCAGGGGAACTTAGTGCCACTTTCAAACCAGTTTGAAGAGCCACAGTGTAGTTCCATCATTTCGTCTCTGCTCCCCTATCTTGAAAATCCCATGACCCAGACAGAGGCTACTCATTTTGCCTGAATTCCAAAATCAATGAGCTGAGCTGTAGCTCAAGGCAATAAGAGTGAGAGGTGATCATTCGCTGATAAAAGCCATTCGATTACTGAGGTTGTGTGTTATAAAATTACCTGGCCTAAGCTGACTTAGATATCTCTTCTATGAAGTCTTTAAAGATTATTTCAGGGAGAATTGGCCCATTTCTTTTTCTTAGTGCACTTGAAGGAAAGGCATTATAATATGAATACATGAGGAGACTAGCTCAGGAGGAAAAATACTATGATCTCAAATTCTCATAAGCTTGAGAATAAACTACTGATTTCTATAGGTGAGACAGTACAGAGAGAAAATGGGCTCGTCATATTATTTGATGGTCAAAAATCACTAACATTTACAAGTTGGTGAAAGATGTAAATATAGACAGAAAAAGAGTCTAAGTCCTATGGACCACTACAGTCTGAAGAAAAAGAAAAAAGAACAAAACACAAAAGAGAGATGTAGGAGACGAGAAAACTAAGAATGTGGAGTTGAATAACAGAAAACATTTCAAAAACTGCAACTGGATCCAAGGATCCAGGC